AAGAGTGTTCTGGGTAGAATGTTGGTTGCTAGGCAACGATACAGCACGTCAATCAAAAGCGGGAAGAATTTACAATGCAAGTAATAGAGCCGTCAAATGACGGCTATGGATAATTTTACCTCCATCACCCACAGCCGTCATTTGACGGCTCTATTACTTGCATTGTAAATTCTTCCCGCTTTTGATTGACGTGCTGTATCGTTGCCTAGCAACCAACATTCTACCCAGAACACTCTTGACCTTTTTGGCTAATACGGAAAAATGGGTTTTAGAAGAAAACTAACAGTGAAACAGAATTTAGAATGCTTCAAAAATATTGATGAAAGTGATGTGGGCGGAGGTGGAGATGACTGGTTGAGAGGAAACGGCTTAGATTCTAACAGCGACCCTGATTATGATCAACCATCCCAGGCAAAACGCAGACGTGTCAGTGACCCATCAGACCATATGGAAACTTTTTTACAACACCTCAGCCGGTGCACCCATGGAGATAGCAGCTATAAACGCATTGGTTTTGTTTAGGAGCTCTTTGAACGTTAGCATGTCACACATAGATTTTATATTCTAACTGGTAAAACAGCTGCGTGCAAACCACGCGCCAGAGAGCCGCAGGATACAAACCCCGCAGAAGAGCAGCTTTGGTGAGGCAAAGAAAACAGTGGCAGGCGCATTAGCGCTGCACAAAAAACAAAAAAAGCAAACATTAAAAAACGCTCATATGATGTTTGTCATAAATGTGAAAAGGTGGTGTGCGGGACATATGCGGGGGGAATCAATCTATTTCTGTAAATAAATGTTTTATTTCAAACTTTGAACCTCTGTAGTATAACAGTCTTATCCTATTTTACTGATTTATTTATACAAATTTAGACTACAAATAATAATAGCACAATACAGCCTTTAAATATATATATTAGACATATTTTAAGGTTTACATGTCCACAGTGAGTTTATAAGGCATACTAGAACTATTTCAGTCGATGACATCATCACTACTCTTGCATTCTATAGGGAAAAATGCCACCTGTCAAATTGATGGCCAGTGCGAGTTCTAGTACGATCAGATTTTTGGGGGCCCTTCCTGAGACATTTTTTGAAATGTTTACAAGAAATCGCGATGTATTCATGTGCATGTATAGTTTAAAATACGAACCAGTGCCTGAAGTTTCAGTTAAGATTGTTAGCGGCGCTGTTCACTACAAAATACTCCACGTCACATAGGATATGAGATTGAGCCTCTTTCAGTGGAATGACGCGCAGGGAAGGGAAAGAGAGCGGCGTGATGCCACCCAACCATACAATAAAAACAATCTAAAATCAACGGATATAATCAAAGACACTTGGATTTGGCCAGAAATTTAATTCTCTCTTTTTTACATCATGATATCAGCCTCGATGCATTTAACGCTGAATCTGCGCGCAAAAGCCCCCCTTATAACAATGGAAGCACACAAGAGGTACGTGCTCTTCTTTTTTCTTTGTTTTTTCATCCGTCATTCGGCGACTTCGGTCAGCCATTATTCTATACCAGAAGAAATGAAAGCAGGGTCGGTTATTGCCAACCTTGCAACCGACCTCAGCCTGGATGTGAAAACACTAAAACAGAGGAAGATGAGAGTCGACATCATCGCAAATAAAAAGTACTTAGATGTGAACAAAGAAACCGGGGAGCTGTATATCGTGGAGAAAATTGACAGGGAGCACACAGGCCTTTGCAACACCAAATCATCCTGTTATCTCAAGCTTGAAGTCATACTGGATAATCCAGTGCGGATTTTTAACATCGAAATTGAAATCCTGGACATGAATGACAACGCCCCGCAATTTCGAAGAGACGTAATATATCTAGATATATCTGAAGCCGCTCCCAAAGGGGAAAGATTCTCTCTCAGCAACGCGGTTGATTCTGATGTTGGAATTAATTCGGTGAAAACATATCATCTGAGTGAAAATGAATACTTTAATATTGAGGTCCAGACTGGGCGAGACGGTTCAAAATTTGCTGATTTGATTTTGAAAAAAACCTTAGATCGAGAGCAGCAAGCCGTTCATAATTTGATACTAACAGCTGTAGATGGAGGAACACCTTCTAGATCGGGTACTGCCAGTGTTATTGTTCGTGTTTTAGACACCAACGACAATGCACCTGCGTTTGATAAATCAATTTATAATGTTAAATTGATGGAAAACTCCCCTATTGGGAGCCTTGTTATTCATCTCAGTGCAACAGATTTAGACGAGGGATCAAATTCTGATTTAACGTACGCATATAGTTTATATACGTCGGAGAAGACACAAGAAACTTTTAATCTAAATCCAAAAACAGGTGAAATTACTGTGAAGGGAATGTTGAACTATGAGGATTTTAAGATTTATGACATGGAAGTTATAGCAACAGACAAAGGAGCCAACAGTTTGTCAGGACAATGCACCATAAAGATTATAGTAGAAGACATGAATGACAACCACCCTGAAATATCTATTAAATCATTTCAAAGTCCAGTTAGTGAAAACATAGAATTAGACACAGTGATAGCTGTAGTTAGTGTCAGTGATAAAGACTCTGGTGATAATGGAGTGGTTGATCTTTATATTCCAAAGAACATGCCTTTTAAATTAAAGGAGTCCTCTGATAACTATTATGAGTTAGTGGTGTCAGAGCCATTAGACCGAGAGAAGGTCCCAGAATATGACATCACTTTTACTGTCAAAGACAGAGGCTCTCCTCCTTTATCTGACAATGAAACAATGACTTTGGAGGTGTTG